GAGAAGGCCCGGTTTCTAGTTTTCTCCTTCCGAGCCTCTCTCGGCGTCAGGCCCCTCAGCCGTCCCTGTTGGCTAAGGCGGGTGATTCGGGTAGATCTGGGTGGGAGAAGACGATCTGCCAAATATTGAGGTCCCAAACCGTTTAGGTTTACCTATAGATTTTGGTGCTCTCTAAATTTTAGTGCCTCAGTTGCCTTGCCCCAGTGATGAGCCTGGCAACCAGTTAGGGTGGCTGCAGGCCACCTCCAGGATCAGACACGATATGCCCCAAGTCATTTGCAAGGGGAACGTAAGGGTGCAGCCAAGGCCGGCTGGTGGCTGCCCAGGTTGGTGTCTGGTTAACACGATCCTTTCCAAAAACAAAATAGTGGACTCGGTGAGCCTCTCATGACATTCCACATGGCTGTCCTTAATCTTATTTTAATTTATGCCATTTATTATTATCAATCAAGGCAGCATTTATGTGCTGCCTTGGAACAAAACTTTGGTGGATTCAGAAACCCGTCCTGCTGCATCGAAGAGACACAAAGCAGGCTGGTGGAAAAGAATGAATAATTCCCCCTTAGTCCATTTTTCACACTTTTGCCCATGAAATGCAAGGTGAGCGGATGCAGAACAAATATACTGTATATCCAGATACCATTTTAATTCAGCCTCATAGGGCTGATGCACCATATTTCTCTGCCTGGAATGAAACAGTTTTAGAAGGAACAGCTGTGCAAACATATCGGGCAAATGCTAAAGAAACAAAACAAGACAAAAGCGTGTGGCACTTTAAAGACTACTATATTTTAATCTCTGGAAGATGAGTCATGGCAACTGGACTTCTTATTCTTATCAGATTGAAGAACCTACTTGGATGAGTAGCGAAATGTTTCAACCGAATAACAAAGAAGTCCAGTTGCCAGGACTCAGCTTCTAGATAAACTCAACCACCTGGATGACTGAGAACCTTCACAGAATTATACAGTATTTTTAATGTGAGCTTTCATGGACAAGTATGCAACAAAAAATCAAAAACCAAAAGAACCTCACCCCAAAACGTAAACTTCATCATTCCCTTAATTTTTTTGGGGGGGGAGGGTGGGTGCCCTGGGACTGTGCAGTTTGCCCAAGGCTGCACAGGCTGGATCTTTTCCCAGCACAGCCAGTGGAAGAATCGAACTCCCAATGTTTGGCTGGGCAGCCAGATATCTAAACCCCGCAGTCAGCCCACAGAGACAAGGCTGGAAAATTTTGCAGGCAACAGGAAAAGAGAAAGCCTGAGTAGGAGATGGATTGAGTGAATACCGCAGCCTTGAGCTGGAAAGACCTGGAGCAGGGCTGTTACTGACAC